TTTGTAATTAGAAAAGAGAAAGGGAGCTAATTGTAATATTTAGATTAGTAATAAGAGGTTTGACTGAATTGAGAGGATTGACTTTCTCTCTCAATATTCATATATGTGTTCATAGTGTTCTTACTGTTAAATCCATGAATCTGCCATTGATGTGAGCTTAATATGAAGATTGATCAGTGATTGTGGACACACAATTGGTATCAAAGCCGGAATGCAAGAAATCAGATGAAGAAATCGAAAAGATAAGTTTTTTTTTTAATTTCTTAATTTTTGTGTCATTCGTGTTCTTCGTGTTTTTGATTTTTTTTTCTCTGTTTGATCCGATTTTATCATAAAATCTTGTGTTTTGGTGTCAAAAACATGATCAAAATGCTCGAAACCGTGTTGTGAATCTTTGTTATTCACAAATTTTTGTGATTTGATCAATCTTTATCAAAATTTAATCGGATTTTTGTGCTTTTAAATTTTTTCGTGTTCTTGATTGTTTTTAAAATGTCAGTGTTTTGATCCATTTTTTTTTAATTTTCTTTTAGTTTTTGTGTTTTTGTTAGTTTTAATCTGTTTTTGTTTTGTTTTGTTTGGTTATTTTTGTTAAACCGCCTAATATTCTAAAGCCCAAACCATTTTAAGGCCCAACAGATCAATTTTTAGTCCAGCATACTCTTGAGCGGATAAGAACACCGGAGAAGGTAAACCATGTGAAGCTTAAGCGGATAAGAGATTCACAGGTGAAGGCAAGATTTCTCAAGCGGTATTCATCTTCACCGCATACCATTTGAGCGGTGTTCATATACACCGCACGCTACTTGATCGGATTTCAAGCGGTGTTCATCTACACCGGTCACCATTTGACCGGATTAGGGTTCTGATCCATTCAGCAGGTAAGTCCTCCGGTTTACAGTTTATATGTGAGCGGTTTAGAACTTGTTTGAGCGGACTTCTAATCCGTTCAATTCCACTTACCCAGTTTCATAAATCGTTCATTGTAATCCCAATCCAGATTATTAACCTTGTGAAGATAGACTGTGTGTGATTGCTTGTTTCTGCCAGTTGATCATTCAATTTGGGTTTTATATCTTGTTCCTTCCTCCATCTCACAGATTAATTGTTTCATCTGTTAATCAATTTCTGGTTTCCAGAAAGTTTTCGAGATTCAGTTTACAAATTTGATTTACGATTGTTTAACGATTTTTTGAGTTGATTGATTTCTGTTCCTGAAATTGATTAATTAGCATTGTGATTCTCTGTCTGTTGGCGTGAAATTGAATCGCTGGTTAACATGGCTTCCAAAGCTAGCAAAGGAAAGCTTCATAAGGCCAAAGGGCGATAAGAAGAAGAAAGCAAGCAGAAGCAGCAATTTTTTAAACTAAACAACAACTGTTTTGGATTAAAACAGAAACAACAGCAAAGCAAAACAAGGTTTAACAGGGTTAAACAGCAGCTTATTTGAGTTGCTCAATATCTGTTTAGAATCTGTTTAAGAAAAAGGCTGTAGCAGGGACAACAACAAACTGTCAGCAGCTCAGATTGAGAAGAAAGTCTAAAACAGCAACAGCATTGCAACCTTTCTTGCTGTTTCATTTCATCTTGACAACAACTTAGCAGGTTGATTGTGTGCTACTGTTTTGAGAAAACATCTTCACAGCAACAGTTTCACAGCAACAGCAACCATTGCTGTTTAAAACCAGGTTATATAACAGGTTTAATAACAGGTTCTTGTTTGCTGTTTTGATTTGAAGATTGTTGTTCATGTTTTTGACTTGATTGTGTGCTGTGTTGAGACAGCAACTAAACAGCAACAGCAACATCAACAACTGTGCTGTGTTTGTGATTTAATTTCAAACAGTTTGCTGTTTTGCACTGTTTTCGTGCAGTAACAGCAACATTGAAGCTGTTTACGAATATTGACAGCAGCAGTCTTAATTCTTTTTAACAGCAACAAGACACAACAGCAGCAACAGGCTTCTCAAGAATTATTACAGCAAGTCTTTTGACAGCAATTAGACAGCAACATTGACAGCAGCAGATTTAATTTTTTTTTTGTGACAGCAACTACACAACAGCAACAAGAACAGCAACAGACCTCTGTTCTTGATTTTTGACAGCAACTACATTGTAACAGCTACAACATACACAACTTTGTTGTTTTAAAACTGTCGAACAACAGTAACTTCAGAACAAGAACAGCAGATTAGTTTATCGCTCATAAGCTGCTCAACTAGTTCTGGATTTGGGAAATTGACTTGCTTGATTTCACATTTTTTTTTGCTCAAAAAGTTGTACTGATTTCAGGTTCTTGTTATATACAGGTTCTGTTATAAACAAGTGTTTTGTAGCAACAGTTTTTGGCTGGTTTTGTTTCTTGTCATATATTGGAATAGCAGCAGAGGTCTTGTGCACACACAGGTCTTGCCGTTGTGATTGGATATAGACAGTTTCAACCTCAGCACACATTTCAGAAACACAGGACCGGAACAACAGTGAACTGCAAGTTATACAATAGCAGCTCAAGTGCGAGAGCAGCAATTGTGGACATTCTCAATTGAAAGCTCAAGCTGCACAGTGAATTGTTTTGAGCATATTTGATTTATCTTCTTGTGCTGATCAACTGTGGACATCTGTATTGTAAAGAGTTCATACTGTGTGATTTGGACTTAAAGTCAGAATTTTGGACTTGGGTTATTGTTTTTTGAACTGTTTATAGTTTCTTAGGTTGTTTGTGTTTAGTTTTCTTTTGGATCACTGTATATTTGTTTTTGCGTGAGTTTTTCAGTGTTTGTGTTTTTCGGTTTCTTTTTGAGCTTAACTGTTCATATTTCTTTTGCTGATTTCACTGCATAGATCATTAACTGATCAATTTTTTTAAAATGGCAGTTTTTTATACTAAAGAATATCGTGAGCTTAACGAAAAGTATGCTCAAGTAGATTCTAGTCTTAGCAAGAGTATATCATGGTCAAATCATCTGAATGGTATTCTTCAGAGAGAGAAAGAAGAGAAGAGATTTTTGCAAGAAAAGCTGGATGAACTGATGAAAACCTGTGCTGATCCAGAAGAGACAGTTAGGTTCAATAAACAGGTTGAGGACTTAACTATAGTGAATAAATCTGAAAGTGAAATGATTGAAGTAAGAGAGCTGTTAAACTT